GCCCCTGCCTTCGTCGCCGGGGGCCGGTCCTTGGGTCCCTTGGCCTCCACCCCATCGCAGGGGTCTTTTCGGGTGCCGAAGCCTGCTATCGCTCTCGGCCTTCAGGATGGGGAGTTCCCGCTCGGAGCGGAGACGAAGCAACCTGCACGTCCGGGCGACACGCCCGCCTCATTGGGGGGGACTCTCGGGGCACTCTTGGGGCGTTAGGTGCCGCCGCAGCCTCCATGCACCGGCGACGCTGGCCGCGCGGTGGCGCCGCTGCCAACGACGGGTCGCAAGGAGAGGAGCCGCCCCGCCGGCGCCACCGCCCCGCTGCCCGAAAGCAGGCGCCGTTCACAGCCCGAAGGCCCAAAGGCGGAGGCGAGGCCCACCTTTTCACACCGCCGCGCGGTGAAGAGGCGCCGTTCACAGCGAGAGGGCGCAAGAGGCGGAGGCGAAGCCCGCCCGTCCCTGAGCGAGTCCGGCTAGCGAGGTCACGCGGCGTCCGCTCGCCGACCCGCCGCCCGTCGGGTACCCGGCCGCATCCGACCGATCGCTCGCCTCTACCACGGATGAGGAGCAGCCGCCAGCGCTGGTGCCGCCGTCACCACTGCAGCCGCCGCCGCCGCCGCCGCCGCCGCCGCCGCCACTGCCGCCACCGCCCGCGCCAACGGCTAGCCGCCACGCAGACCGAGCTGCGCTGCCGCCTCCTCCGCCTCCGCCTCCTCCGCCTCCGCTTTCGCCTCCGCTTTCGCCTCCGCCGCCTCCGCCGCCGCCGCTGCCTCCGCCTCCGCTGCCTCCGCCCCCTCCCAGAGAAGGGCCATCGCCGATGATCGCCATCACCGCCCCGTGCCTGCGGGCTGAAGGCGCCAACCTCAAGGGAGTGAGTAGACGGTCTTGTGCAGTGTGTGCAGAGCACTACTCGTATACATCACCACACAGGACCACAAGAGTTGGTGGGCCAGGGGGGGGGGGGGGGGCGACCCTCGCGTCTCCACGTCTAGACGACAGGAGCTCCGATGGTACGAGGTTGGCTTGTTGGTTGTCACATGCACATGCACATGCACATGTGCATATTCGCGCGAACACGGAGGGGAGGCGGATACGGCGGATACATCTCTCGGGCGCTGGTTGGGAGACAGGAACACGCCTCCCGCTTCTGGCCGCGAGATATGGGGAGATACGGGGGGAGATGTGGGGAGATCTCCCGCTTCTAGGGCCGCGTGCCCTCCCTGCGCCTATGAACAAAGAAATCCACGTGCCGCCGAGGTATATTTCTTTTTTCATAGGCCTGCCCTCCCTGCACCGACTCGGTGATCGCGCGGAACTGCGCCTGTGCAACGCCGAGATCACCGGAGATTACCCGAGATCACCCGAGATCACCCGAGATCACCCTAGATCGCCCGAGATCGCCCGAGATCGCCCGAGATCGCCCGAGATCGCCCGAGATCGCCCGAGATCACCCGAGATTACCCGAGAGGAGCGCCGCCTGCACCGCCGCCTCCGCCGCGCTCTCCGCGTCGATGCCGCCCGCGTCCCCCTCCCCCTCCCCTCCCTCCGCCCCCGCCCCCGCCCCCGCCTCCGCCTCCATCGCCTCCCCCTCCCCCTCCCCCTCCTCCGCCCCCGCCATATACTCCTCCTCCTCGTCCTCCTCCTCCTCCCACCCCCCCATCGCCACGCTCCACACGCGGGCACCACCCTTGCGCCGCCGCTTCCTCGCGTCGCCGCCCTTGCGTAAAGACAGCGCGGTCGTCGCGCGCGCCCTGCCGGCGCCGCGTCGTCCCGCCGTCGCGGACGCCACGCCGCCGTCTCGACCCCCGCCGG